TTTACAAGAAGCTTCTCAATGCGGAAAATCTGCAGAGGTGTTATCAGAGTTCTACGGGTGTGTGGGCCTACTTATCAGGCACCCAAGAGCAGCTGTTTGTAATCAATCAATCAAAGTTTATTTGTATAGCAATTTTCATACAGTTTAGTGCAGTTCAAAGTGCTTCACAGATGATTGACCAGAAGATAATAAGACAGAATGGAGTTAAAATTAAATATGGTTTATTTAAAAATAGAATACAATAATAGACATTAAAATACAACAATACAATACATTTTACAGGTGTAGCAACAATATTTAATAAAAGCTATATTAATATATATACATAATAAGGAAATAGTGCAAATAAATAATGAAATTATTATAAGAAAATATGATGAGATTAAAAAAATAAAAAAAGCAAGTGAATAATGTCTAAAAACCCAGGCTAAAGGGGTCGGCTTTGAGTTTACGTTTAAAAATGTCAACACTCCCAGCTGCTCTCAGATCCTCCGGCAGGCTGTCCCAGCAGCTCGGAGTGTAAAAACTAAAGACTAAAGACAAAAAGGTTTTTGTTCTGCACTTTGGAACTACTAGCGGGCTCGTGCCAGAGGATCTGAAGGGCCGTGCTGGTTCATACACTGTGAGCATGTGTGACCGGTGCGAGACCATGAAGTGCTTTTAAAAACAGGTAAAAGAATTTTAAAATCAATGCAAAAGCTGACAGGCAACTGCAGCTGATTTGTAACTTTTTTTGGGTAGACCAGAAAAGAGTGCATTGAAGAGTTTCTCCGTGTCACTCGGAGAGAAAAATGGTCGTTCTTTTGCAGCATAGTGGAAAGTTCGCACACATGGACAATCAGAGTCATCAGCAATGCAGTGGGTTCATGGAAATTATGAGGAGGTTGTGGTTATTAAAGCAGTACTAGTATTGCTTTGAATACAGCTTTAAACCTGCATAAACCTTCTAACATATTATCGCAGTATAAAGCGAATGTTAACATGTGTTATGTTATGTTATTCCATTCCACAGTCGGCCTGAAATATCTGTCACTGGGTGCCATCCAGGCAGAGTTCATGGACCAAACTATGATACTCTCCCAGTTGTGTCCTCGCTTGGTTTATTTTGTTTTACGCAGCTTTGATGTCTGTGTCTGAGAGAGACAGCGGTGGTCAAGCGACACAGACCGTGAATGGGGAAAGGGAGCGACAGTAGCAAGAAAGCCAGTGAATCAGAGAAATAAAAAGTTATTTTCTGATTGTTTCACAGCGCTTGCGGTCTAAAGCACACATAAACACGCCCACACACCACCGCACCAGTCTGCGGCTAATCACCACAACGTCTAATTTGGCCTGAATGCAGCCTTAGACCCTCAATTCAGATACGGACAAACCGGAAAAAACTTTTTAACAGGGATAAAAATGTAAGAAATATCAAGATGGTTAGAGCAAAGTAGCAAAACATTGCCTATTTATACACCTAGTAGACACAGAGCAACATTAGTATTTGCCACCTGGCAAATGGAAGTCCGACATTCCCTTTCCTCTTAGTTTTGATTTGGTCTTTTTGAGACCTCATCAATCCTGAGGAAAATATCTGGCTCTTTCGTTGCTAAATGCTCCACTATGTTCACCAGCTAGTTGCTTACTGTGTCTGTCTGCTGTTCGGTGCTGGGCAGGTATTGCACAGTGGGATTATCAGGGCTTTCTCACTCAAAACAGCTGCCTCCTCCGTCTGGAAAGAACTCTGAGGAGAGCAGTCGGACTGAGCCAAAACAGTACAATTTTGGGCTCTAAAACTGAAACAATGACATGAAAGACTCTAAAAAGCTGAGGGCTGAGCTGAGGAGAACTGAAGAGTTGGGTGATAATTCTCTCGCTGCAAGTGACCCCTTTCATATTATACGTAGTCATTTCATCCATTTAAGGACAGAGGGTCCTTATTTTGTAAAACCCTCTGAGAGAAACTTGTGATTTCTGGCTGTATAAATAAACTTGAGTAAGATCTGGGGATTTGATGAAATTTAGTACTGCAGTGGCCATAATTACTCTTTTCACTGAAGTGGCGATGGTTTAAATTCCCTCCATCATTCCTGAGTAATAGGAAGTGTCAAACAAAACCTTCATGACACAGTACTTTGAACACTCCCCTTTATCCCTGCAGAATTAAAATAGACCTGGAAAAAAAGCTTTTCCTTTTCCATGACCACCTCTGCTGCTGGTGCAAATGAAAATGCCCTTCCCAAAATAGATCATTTTTACCCTTCAGATGTCCACTTTTATTTTAAGCCTGGTGACACCATGCCATCCATCACACCCAGTGTTTCAGATGTGAGCAGCCCCGGGGAAAACACTGATACAATGCAGGGAAAGTGTGATAGCGTGCTGCTGCTGTGTAGTTAGGACCTCTATGGTTAGGCTACCACTAATTTCATCTCAGAGTAGCATTTAGACATTTTCTTTGTGTGAGTAAAGTGGAAGTCATTCCTCTTTTTAGGGTAAACATTGAAAATGGATGCCCTGCCTTTCCAACTCTTCCCTCAAATTACCACTTGACATGGCCAAACATCGCTCCGCATTATTGTCTGCCAGGAAAATGCATTTCTGAATGCTTTATTGAATGTTTTGGCTGGGTGGAAATTGTACGAAGTGTACCCAGGGCTTTGATCATCTTGACCTGGAAATGCGATAGTCACCCCACTTCACAGGGCTCTCTGACACCTGGGAAACTGGATCTGGTATTCTTGATACATGATCCGCACCGCAGCCCTAAAGACTTAACTTCTCCTGTTTCGTAGTCGGCAGAGACTACTGATGGGAACTGGAATTTCACATGGCTCAGACTGAGGCTTTTTTTTTTTTCTCCCACAAGCCACTGGAGTCACAACATTCGGAGGCTGGTGGAAAAAATGGCCTGTATGATTTTTATGAACGAGATTCCTGCAGCATTCACACACAGACGCACAAAAAGGTTTTTATTTGTAGATTGGATTTTTCATTTTTGTGTCTCAAAGCTGACAAAAGATTTCTGGCGGATGTTGTGAAGCAACATGTAAGTGTGCACAGTGAAACAGAGATAGACCTCACATTCTTTGAGTCATCAAAAAGATAGCATTTTTGATTTGGATATTCATTTTTGGGTTCGTTTTCAAGTGGTCCTGCTGTGTTGTGCAGCAGACGTGGGCCTGGCATCATAGATTATTGAAATAAAACACAAAGCTGTAGGGGAAAAACTGCAGGAGCACTATTTCACACAACTAATTCCATAGATTTTATGGTTGTGACAATTGTTTAGGGTGACATTTTCGAACTAAATTAATCATAAGATGTGTCAAGTTCTGATTGGCTCAACAACTTCCTGGGAGAAACCTGATGAGATTTAAAGATTATGGTGTAATTTTATGGTGTATGTTTTTGTCCGTCTTGTTTATTTTCTGAAACCAATCTCACTGTAACATAGCGTCCCTTGGATCGGAGGCAGTGGGCTTTTCAGATCCATAAAAGCATCACATCAAATCTAAACGAACTTGAGTGCTTAAATAAGAATAAGGTGTTAGAGTATAAGAGTATTGTTTTAGTATTATGTGGATATAATTCATTCAGAAATCTGTTTATGTTTTACAGTGCTGAGCAATTTAATGTGATGGGCCTGGCAGTGGTAGTGAAGTACATTACACAGAGCCAGTGTGTGATTAGAGAAGCTGTGGCATGGCTTTTAAAGTTCACGGCCCCTCAGGATATTTGATCGAGCCGCCGGCCTTTGATCAGTGTTAACATTACGGTAACCATGACAGTTTATTTTCAACTACCAAAAAAAGACCATTTGTGTCAGAAAACAATCTCCCCTTCCTCTGACACGTTGGCACGCCGCAAAAGAAAAATGTCAGGGTCAGTGATGGGCCATTAGCCCAGAGTGAGTTCCTTTTGTGATCCAAGATCCATTTAAAACACCTTTTTAGTCTTCAACAGATGGTACCGTGACACAGCAACCACAGGCGTTGACCTGTGCCTTAACTTGAAGACATTTCCAAAAAACCACAGGACAAACAGCACCGCAGAGGAGAGAGAATGTCTGCCCAGAGAATGAATGACACCATGAATGTGTAATAAAGAATTCACCTGCTTAGCACGCCTGTATTGTAATGCCTTGTACATTTGATTGACTACACGGTCACCCTCTATTCATCGGTATTATACCCTTTTCTTTTTCATGGAGGTCGCTCCTTCATTCCTGCAAATGTCATAGCGCTTAAATGAGAACTGCACTGTAGCCCACAATGGAAGCTTTTCAGCCAGATTAAATGTATCACTGTGCTGAAACTTTCCTTTCCTCTCTCCCCCCTTTGCCCCTATTGTGACACAGTGGTTTTACAGAGCAGCTTGTTGCTGAAAAACAAGGTTAAGAAGATCAGTATCAAAGGAGGAGTGTTTTTGTGTGGCTTGCAGGAGAGTCTCGCTTCAGGTTTCCACCTGAAACACAAAGGTGTTTTCTTACCTGATTTGTATTCATTCACACAATGAGTGGACCTGCCTCTCTTGTTTCCAAGTAAGGAGAGTCCAGACGAGACTTTTGTTCGCCCTATCATCGGATACGTGCATGTTGCTTCCTCCAGTACAAGCCTTGGAGCCCAGCCACAGGCTTTGTCCTGGATGGATTTTTTCCTGCCCTTTTTCCTCTTCTTTGTTGCTCTGTGTATGTTCTAAAGAAACCATTTCAGATAAATGTTTCAGCACTACCGGTTTTTTTTTCCTTTTCCTTTTGGCTTCTTATTTCAATAATACCAAGCCTTGTCACCCTAAAATTGCCTTGTCAGAATCCAGAACCCACAAATTAGCAGTTTAAAATGTGTTTCAGTCCATAGTAGCCTGTAGTTCAGTGCATTGTGGTGCATGTTGTGCTCTCTAAACACAGATAGTCGTGCCTATACAGTGGTACTGTACAGATAAACTTGTTTGGTTCAATTGAGGTCAGTCAAACTGCTTAAAACATGATGTAAGTAAATATTATTCTTGTTTTTCAGGGTTTTTTCCTGACTGTGTCCCCGGAGTCAATCCTGAAGGTGGCGAAGCACGCTTCAGATAACAACAAAATCTTCTGCATGAACCTCTCAGCACCTTTCATCAGCCAGTTCTTTAAAGAGCCCTTGATGAAGGTCATGCCTTACGTCGACATCTTGTTTGGCAACGAGACGGTAAGTGAAACGAGACATGTGTTCAGGCCTCTTGAGGACAGATATTCTGTTTGCCAACACATTGTTTTGATTGAGATGTACAGTACATGTGTTTTCGTGTTTTTGTTTGTATTTACCTCCACAAAATAAGTTGTATTTTCAGTCCTGTTTGTCTGTTTTGTTTTTTAGTTATTTGTTAGGATATCTCAAAAGCCCAAAAGCCTGTTTGGTTGAACGTCAAGTGCTTTATGTTTTTTCTCTTAACTCCTGAAAGTAAGCAGAGAAGCAAAATAAATTTTCTTCCAAATCCCTTCGTCCTTAAAAAGATGAGTCATGCCCATTTTATGCCATAAAATACTGTACAACTTAATGAATTTGAACATAACAAATTAGAATATAATGACATGTTTAGCCATGCTAGCAGCATGCTGTGTGCACCACTTGAGTCCAGACTGAAATATATCAACAGCTATTGGATGGCTTACATACATTCATGGTCCTCTGAGGATGAACCCAAATGACTTTTCCTCCAACACCTCCATGAGCTATTTGGTTCTGACTGAAATATTCCGACAAATATTGGATGGTTTGTCGTGAAATTTGGTACAAACGTTCATGTCCCCCCTTGATGTGTCCTCTAGTGCCATAATTGGGTCAGAATCTTAATATGTGACCAAATACCTGCAGAACAAAGGACATTACCGTCAGCATCAGCCGTACTTTGTTTTTTTGCCATTTCGTCATGCTAACACACTAAACGTAGGTAGTGAACATGGTAAGCATTATTGTATACCTGCTAGACATCCACCATGGTACTACAAGATTACTACTACAGATTTAGATTTTAAAAAGGAAATAATAATCGAGGCTGCAGATCAGTCAATCATTATGTGTGTGTGAGATGCAAAACCCAGAACAGTATTAGCATTAATACAAGAAGTGCAAAAGATTATGCAATCTTGTCGGAGGTGTGTGCTCTCTGAGTGCCCTATAGTTTGACACTATATCCCCTCACCTTGTTTAAAGCATCAATCAAAATGTCATGTCCACTGTTTCATTCCACTCATTGCTCTCATTTCTCCTCAGTATCCATTTAACTTCTCACTTATCACTGCCCCATAAAAAGATGAATAAGAATTAGCCCAGTAATCATTCATCTCAATCGCGTCACCATTTCATGCCGGTTCATCCATTGATTTTTTCTCGCGCTGTAGAAGCGGGTCGCTGGTTGGAGGTCAAGCTGTGGTCACAGACTGTGGTGCTGCTGGGAAGTATCCTCTAACAGGCCAGCTGAGCTTGACTCGGAGGCACCGCCTGGACAAACTGCAACTTTGGGGTGGGAAGAGGGGAGTGGATGATCACTGAACTGAACTCGCCTCCCCACTGCTAAAGCTACTAAACAGAGCCCTGTCTTTGGGTTAGAGATGGGGTCCACAGACCAGGACAGAACTGGAAGAAACTGCTCAGCATTTGAGGATTTATTGCTGTTGCTGACTTCAGCCTTTTCCTCTTTTCTTTCCTCCTCCAACATAAGACCTCCCTTTTTACATATGCGCCTCTCTCTCTCTCTCGCTCCCTAATTGCTGTGAGGAACGATTGTGTCTCCTAAACCACGGTGTACATTTTGCAAGTGTTATGTATTTTCGGGTGGGTGGTATTGTAACTGTTTGCTTAAGAAGTTTGCTCACACCTCCAGTCATTACAGTTTAATGACTCTGGATAATTGCAATGAATGTTTGTTGAAGGAGATTATCTTTTGGAGTTTCTGTCAGGGCTTGCTCTCCGGAATTGAACCCGGCTAAGACCACGAAAATAACAGATTCAGTGGGAAACAGAGCAGATATTCACTGCTCAGCTGCCTCAAGCAGTGAGGTCTTCCAGGGTCTATGTAGGACTAATGCCTGTCCAGAGTGTTTTGACTCCTTTTGGCCTTCCACTGTGTTGGCTGCTAGGAGGAGGGAGCGGGGAATGACTGCTCATACAGTCAAGCCCTAGACCTCCCATTGTGCACAAGCCAGACAAGGTTGGCGGTCATGCAGTGGTGCGTGGTGAGTGACAGGCAACAGGGCTGCCTCGCCCACGCTCGCCCATCCAGCCCCCCTGGCCGTCCTCTCACCCCAACTTCCACCCCCCAAAGTGATGGATCAGCCTCAGCCCGCGATGCTTTCATAACAAGTCAGTGACAGTCAGGATCATGCAGACTGACTCCTATAGCCTTGCAGAATGTGCCATAAGGGAAGGCTAATGTGTCTGCCTGTCTCTGCCTTCCTCTCCCACACTTACTGAGTCACGATACAGAGCTACGCACACTTGGGGAAATATTTTTTAAAGCAGCTGTAAGATCTCATGTTTTGAAGGAGACTAATAATACTTTTGGGCAAGATTGAGGTTTGCATTATTTGTCATGAGTGGGATCTTATTTCAGTCGGATCACAATACCCTTCTGATCGTTTGAAACTCCGAAACAGTTGTGCAACACCACAGACTCCAAAAAATGTCAATAGTCTCTCTTTCTGCTCTTGTTTTTGCCTGCTTCTGATGTTGAAATGTGTCTGTGTTTCTGACTGAGTCTACCCTTGGTAATTCTGCTGTAATTCGATCCTGCTGGTACTTGTTTGAAACCTGGCATCAGCAGGCCCTCCCTGGCCTATCGGCAGCCTTGTACTTATATAACAGTCTCCCATCCATCCTGTAATTACTGCCTTTTTGGGGCATAGTGTAGTGTCTGTCCCTTCACTGGTGGGGGGGGGGTGTGGAGAGGCTAGCGACTCCGTTTGTGCGTTTCCAGGGCCTCTGAGATGGTGCCGACGGAGGCACATAGACATCAAACGCTACTTCACTTAATTGGCAAACATGTCGTGTGATAACCTGGGAACAGCACAGGCCTAATTGAGTCCTCCTGTGCTGTCCTCCTCTGACTACCTGACATGGAACCCAGGGCATTACATTTCCCTCCATTTAATGGCTGCAGTTAATTAGGCCCGAATGAGGGAATCATTACCGCTGGAAAAACCACATGCCAGTGGATTCGCCGATAAAATTAGCCACAATTTGCTTTTGCTATTTGAGCATAAGAGATAAACCACACAATGGGGGGAAAGGATTGGACCATTACTGGCGGATTTGTATTGTGGAATTTTAGACATATCATAGACAAATGGAACGATTAATCAAGACTGAATTAATCACCCTGACTGATGTTTTTTTTTTTTTTTTTGAAGCCAGGTTTCATGGCTTTCTCTATTTAGATCATTTCATGTGCTTGGGCTTTTTTTTATCTGTGCAAATGGTTTAAAAATGTGCTTCCTTTAATAAAACGGTACTGCAGATGAGGAGCTTATTTTTTTGCCCCACAGTCAATACCCAACAACCTCCCCGCTCCTCTGCCATTAACATTATATACCACCCCCATACAGGAGCTCTTCATGCCTTCCATTGCTGTCCAATGCGTTCTGCAGCTCCACACTCAGAGGGAGCTTATTTTTATGGGTCCCCGCCCCGTCTTCCAAACGAGAGACAGCCATTGTAATTGAATACTCAATAGGTGAGCCATTTAACAAAAGTGGAAATGGCATTCGGCTATGTATTAATGTGCTTTGCTGAGGCAAAAGGAGCCATCATCATTTCAATGTTCAAGCTGTTTTAAAAGAGCATTTAGCCTGCCATCTCTCCGGGCCATGAGAGCAAAATGACACGGATTTCCTTCTCCTCTGTACTTTGTGTGAATGTTCCTCGCCTAATATTTTGTATGGTTATCTCGGTTATTTTCCCATCCATCCCTCAGCACCTCTCCCTGATCTAGGTGGAGGGATACAAGCAGCTCTACAGAAGGTTACTGTCATGAAAAGCCCCTCAGGCGTTTTGGCTCTCAGCCCTATTTTTCTCCATCTGCATGCAGTGTGTGTGGGGTGGTGGGGGCTCTAATGATTTTTCCAGGACAGGCTGAAGTGGGTGTACAAGTATATATATGTGTGTGTGTGTGTCTGCGGCGTGTTTGTGTGGATGGAAAAAAAAAGCAGGCGGAGGAGATACATGGGCAATATGGCGTCATTTCTTAACATCCCTCCAGATTCGTCATTTGGCTTTGTTTGTTTGATAGACTGCTTGGAAGCCTTATCTCTGTGGCGAGGCCCGTGGCTGTTTATCGCCTCAGTGACGTATGCGGGATCGTGGAAGCGCGTGCTCTCTGCTGTCAGTATGTGTGGATGATGGCAGGTTCACTAAAGGCCCCTTAGGGTATGAGGGGTGTTCTCGCACAAAAAAAGGGAAAAAAAAAAAAAAAAAAAAAAAAAAAAAAAGAATAGGAGGAAGAATTTCCCCTTGACAGCTCACCCACAGCGGACTCGAGATGTACTTCTCAACGGTAGCTTGGGGAAAATATCCCGTCTCACTGCCTAAAACAAAGAGATGTGAGAGCCAGATTAGCGTATTACCGAAACAGCTTTCCTTTTAGGCTCTTCTCTCTCTCCTCCTGTCAGAGCTGTCTGCAGAGAACAGGGAAGAACATGAGACATTAACCTCCATGTGTTTATTCACAAGGCCCCACAGGCCAACTGGGAGGATGAACACAGAACCATCTCTAAAGCTAGCGAAGCGGAACAATCACAATGTGTCATTGGAGGAAAAAGACATGAAGTATTAGCTGCTGCTCTCCTTTGTGTCTTTCACAGCTGAATTTTAATTGAATGTGCTATTTCTGTGATGAGTCACATGCCTTCCGTTCAGCGCCAGAGTACATTGACCTTCAGTGTGACGTACAGTCAGTGAGTTGTATGATGAGTCATAGCGCACATTAGCTGTGATGATTTGCTAAATGCAAAAGCTGCCTTGTTTTTATTTTTGTTTGATTTATTTTTTGCTGAATAGTTTTTAAAAAAAAGTAACATTTCTCTTACTTAAATTGTTTGTTTTTTCTGACTTGTCTCTAATCCCTCGTTAGTTGAACTGCTCGGCTTTAAAGCGAGACTATGTGAATTTTGCTGACGTGGAAGTCCAAATTTTCTATTCAACATCATTTACCTCATACACCCACTTAACACAGATTCAGTTTATTTCCCTTCCGCCTGTCAGTGGATTAAAACCCAGGACCTCCTTGCAG